TTGCTTCAGTAAGAAAAAAATTTCTCTACTATCAGAATACTGCTGCTAGCTTCTGCTTTTTATAAGGAATATTGATGATCTACCTTACATATCCCTATAGTTCTCTTTTATATTTCCATCCCATTCTGTTGTATTCACAAAAATCAAATGTTTCAGATGTGTTCTGACACCTGGAGATCCTTACATGTCCTTGACAAATGATAAAATCATAGAGAGAGTCTCAAAGCAGGTTTGTAGCATTTAAAGGCTATCTCTTAATGCCTAAAGTCATCTACTATACAAGGTTATAAGCCCTATTACACACTATGGGAAGTCATGCAAGAACATAATGTGGGTAGTCTTTGATTAAATTCTTCAGGCTTTAGTAACTTCTGAATTTAAATTGTTCGGCTTGACAGAGCACTTATCCATAAGGCTTCTTTCATTTCTACACACAACTTTTGCATGAGAGCACACATGGTAAACTTGGCTTCAGATGGCAGTAGTCACACCTTGAAAATCTACCATCTGCATGTCATTGACATGTGTAAACAACCTATACTCATTTATGTGAATAAAGAAAACATCTCTATTCATTTTAGGACATCAAAATCAGCTTACTTGGGAAGTACTAGAATTTAAAATTGTTTGTGCACCTAGCAACCAGGCTTGAATGCAAGTCCTTTTCAGCTGTGATACCACCTGCAATTGCACTTTTTTTGTGATATGGGCCCTTGGTAGACCAAAAGGCAATTTGAGATCAAAGGTTTCCATAATCACAGATGGTAGCTTTCATAAAACAAGATGGTAAAATATTGTGTTTGTTGCCTTTGTAGCTAGTGGTTGAATCCTTTTGGTGTATAGAATTATGAATTATTGATTCCAATTACTGTTGCTATATTCTTGTTTTCATACACTTAATTTTTATTTTTTTTAATTTCCACAATCAGGTCCTGGCTTTGTTCCCCTCATCCCAAGGTCTAGAAGTTATCTGGTCATCCGTTGTAAAAATTGCACAATCTTTATATCGTGAAGGACCTGGCAAAGATCCTTTCAGACCTGATCAGAAGACACCTGTGAAAAATTTCTTCCTTGCTGGCTCATACACAAAACAGGTAACTTAAATTTCCATTCACCTTTTAGCTTGACTGAAAGGCAGCTTCTAGTGTTTGCCCCCACAGTTTTCTGGATGAAAACACCTATTAATTAGAAGGGAAAAACCATCAGAGATTAACAGGCTAATCTAAGTTTCCTTGTTTATCAGTAGTGTCATACAAGCATAAGTGCACAAGTTGAGTCAATGAAATCCAGCATAACCTGGAAAAAAATTGGAAGTTGATGTTTCTTCAACACTTGGTTTTATTTGAGTGAAAATGTAATAAAAACTGCAGTAAATCCAGCATTGTTTCTGCATTGAACAGGATTACATAGACAGCATGGAAGGAGCGACTTTGTCCGGCAGACAAGCTTCAGCGTACATTTGCGATGCTGGGGAAGAGTTAGTAGCTTTAAGGAAAAAACTTGCAGCTGTCGAATCTCAGGACTGCGCAAATTCTAACACAGTAACTGATGAGCTCAGTCTTGTATGATAGCAATTACAAATCACATATCACATATCAAAGCTTCATGATTCATGGCTGAAATAAATAGTTGTTGGGTATATGATGCCAATAAGGTTAAGTTTATGATTTATACAATTCTAAACTTTTTCAATGTAAAGATTAGTTTCAGTTATTAGGCAATCTAGGCATTGATGCTGTCATATGCCTTGCTGTCAAGTCATGTAACGATCATGGTATTTACAGTGTTTATCTCAGTGGTTGAAATGGAGTTTCAGCCACCTAGACAAAGAATCCTGGACATGGAATTGAGATAGTTTTTATAATTATGGTTTGAAAAAGTAAGTTTAAGAAAAATTATTAATTATAGATTTTTCTTAATCAGGTTTCAAAATATATACAATTGTGATATATATCTTAATTAATTAAACACTTTTAAATACATGGTCTCAACCGTACCACAAACACACAAACAAATAGAGTGTACAAGAGTGAGACCACACTGTCTACGATGGCTTGAATGATGTTTTTTTTCCGAAAAAAGAGATGTATTTATTCCTTAAGGAGCATCATGGCCTTAATCCACGTTATAGGTTTAGGTGAAACGCAGTAATGCGGGCAATAAAGCCCGGAATGAGGATGACATACAAAAGTCCAAGAGAACGAGCCGGTGGCACCGTGGAGTCTACTATACAGAATAACCATACGATGATCGGCTGCTTTTGGCCGTGGGAAGGGTTTTTTTTCCCATTAAGTTCCCTAGTTTTTGACGTGGATGAACTTGGTAATTTCAGTAAAAGAAAGCTCTAGAGTCCTTGCTTGGACAAACATGTCTTTTAGAGTATGTTCAGTGATGTGTTCGCTTTTGCAAAATGATTTTGGGAATAGATGCATGCTTTTCGATGGAGATAGTACCCCGGTGTAGTAGCTGTGGCACTCTAGCCTCCACAATACCAAAAAATACATGACTATGATCGGAAATTAATAGATCCTTCCTGGCTCCCACACTGAAAAGAAAAATACTTGACTACGATGGGAAAATGGACGACCTTCGGGGAGAAAATAAATAGAGGCTACGTGTCAATGATCCCATGTCACACTCTGCCGTTTCGGATCTAGATCATTGCTCCAGATCTGACAGCAATTTCCATAAGCAATCTGTCGTTTAACTAAGATTTTTTCCCTTGAATAACTCTATGCACAAGGATGACAGAAGCCACAAGACATAATTGTATGGAATCTTTGAATTAGCTAGAAAACAATAAGCAACATGGAAAGAAAGCAGGCTTTGGATGGCATCTCCTAGCTTGCGTACCACACAACATCGAACATTGCGATGGACAGTAATCAAGGGAATATGTTCATGAGAAAGATAGCCTAAACTCAGATTACTAGAAAAGCTTCATTTTCCTGCAGAGTGCACATGGTTTATACAAAGTTGAAATCATATCTGGTTTCTTTCTTTTGCCCCCAGTTTCTATGCCAAAGCAAGGAAGCTAACCAGTGAAGCAGAGATTCTTTTAATGAAAATTTGTGACCAATTCACCATTATGCCCGTATTATCCACCATTTCTGCCTAATCAAGCATGGAATCTGTTGCCTGCTCTTAAAGGGTGTGAAATTGACAAGCATCAATTTTGCATAAAACAGTGTCCAACCATTGACAGAAATCACAATAGCTAGAAATCAACATCAAAAGAGTAAAAAGCATCAAGTAAACCACATGGATTATTCAAAACAAAAGCTTGATTCATCATTTTTATTGGTTCTTCAACACACAGCCGCACATCAAAATTAACAGGGCAAAAGATCATTAACCACCATGACATACCAGAGGCACAAAGACATTATTAAGCTCAAGCCAGTTCAAATCACACGTGTTATCTTACTTTACCAACTCAAACCCATCCTCTGCTTCCTTCTCAATTTCACTCTTAGCAACCTCCATCTCTTCATCAAAGAAAATGTCCCATTTCCCTTCCCACTTGATAAAAAACTCAGTATCCTCAAAATACTTCACTCTATGCACATCTCCGGCCGGTGTGAACAAATAATCGCCAACAACCAGATCATATTTTGCTTTCTTACTCAAATTCCATACCCTTTTACTCCCTTTTAACACCACCAAATCATGCCCAAATGTATGATGATGTGCAGGCTCTACACTCCCTGCTTTGAAACTTACTATAGCTGATGTCGGGCTCTCTCTAACTATCTTCATTGCCCCGCCAGGAATAATCTCGATGGGTTCTAATTTTCTGTTTTTCACCAGGCAGCAGAGGGCGCACGCGTTTGTGTTTATACTTCCCTCCTCTTGTTGTTTAAGATCAGAAAGTTTTGCACCAATTACAGGCATCTCGCTGAGCGAAGTGTCCAAGAAGGATTCTATTTCTTCTCCCCATGGAGCAGAGTTCGAGGCGGGACAAGGAGACTTAAAAGGGGTTTTAAGCCAAGTGTCGAGGATTTCTATGGCGGAGTCCGGGGATGTTGCCATGCCGGAGACGGCAAGGACGTTGGAGTTGTTGATGGATCGGGAGTTGGCGGCGTCTGCAGTGGAAAGGCAGGTTGCAGCGAAGACGCCAGGGAATTTGTTGGCAAAGATGGAGACACCGACACCAGTGCCGCACGCGACAAGGCCACGGATTTCTGGAGTTGGGGAAGATGGGGTAGTGGACGCAGCGGAGACAAGGCGGCCCACCTCGGCGGCGATGGAGTAGTAGGAGGAAGTGCCGAGGTCTTCTACTTCTATGTTGAGGGAACGGAGGTGAGAGACCAGTGTGTCTTTGAGGGAGCAGCCAAAAGCGTCTGCTCCTGCTATTATCTTGAGAGGGAGGGGAGGGGGGGTTGCGGTTGCGGTGGAAGAGACGGTGGTTTCGGCCATTTGTTGCGGTGGAGAAGACAAGACAGCGAACTTCGCGAGCGAGTGGGAGTGGTTACTGACTGGGTAGTGTCTCTCTTAAAATCATTCTAGACCATATTAAATAATAAATTGATAATTAATAATAGAAGAAAAGGCATTGTATTAGGACTGGATTCATGAGGGAGATAAATTAATTATTAACAGTTTTTTATTTAAAAATAGTTGTAAACGTGATTATTTTTGAAAATATATTTTTATTTAAAATATATTAAAATAATATTTTTTATTCTTAAAAAAATTATCTGTATTATTGTTGAGATGATTTAAAAACATAGAAAAAATAGTTTCTAATAAAAATATTTTTTATTAAATTTGCCCATCCTCAATTTAATACTAAACCTGTATTGTTTAAAAAGATTTAATTTAGGTTGACATGTATGTTAATTTAAGAGTATTTTTAATTTTAAAAAATAATTCGAGTTTTTTTAAGAGATTAGTTAAGAGTTATTTATTTTAGGTGGTCATATAGAGTCTTGGGCTTCATATAAAAAGTAAAACGGTCCATTGCCCATTGGGTTCCTTTCATAAAGGGCTCAGGCAAAGCTGAACCCAAGACACCCAGGGAAGACACCCAGAGTTGAGGAAGAGTCACGGGGTTGAGAGGAAAAAGCCTCTATCTTCGCCTTCGAAGGTGGAGAGGAACAGTCAGAGCGACAGCATCTTTTGAACCTAACAATGATGGTGTTCATGCGGAAAAGCGCTTTTAGAGCTTCTGCTTCTCAGCTTCAACAACGACAAATGGAATTGGGTATCTTTCCCTTTCTTCCTGATTTCCCTTGTTTCTTATTCTTCAATCATCACCACTTTCTTATTTCTACTTCTACAAAGAAACCTTCTTTGCTTAAAAAAATGATGGGTTTGTTAGTAATAATAGCTCTAACATCAGTATTGATGATGCTTTGGCTTCATTCCATCTCATGGTTCGCATGAATCCTAGGCCATCTGTTGTGGAATTTGGCAAATTCTTAGGCTCCCATGCCAAAAAAAAAGGGTACTCCACTGTTGTCTCTTTGTGCAATCAAATGGATTTGTTTGGAGTGACCCACAATGTTTATTCTCTAAGTGCATTGATTAACTGCCTTTGTCGCTTGAACCATGTTGATTCTGCTGTCTCTATCTTGGGTAAGATGGTCAAACTGGGTATTCAACCTAATGTTATCACATTCAATACACTACTCAATGGGCTCTGCATGGAGGGAAATATTAAAGAAGCAGTAGGATTGTTTAATGAGATGGTACGGAGAGGGCATGAACCTGATGTGATTAGTTATAGTACTGTAATCAATGGTCTGTGCAAAACCGGCAACACAAGTGTGGCTGTTCAGGTGTTCAAGAAGATGGAACAAAATGGGTACAAGCCAAATGTGGTGACAAATAATACAATCATAGACAACCTTTGCAAAAATTGGCTCAGTATTGATGATGCTTTGGCTTCATTCCATCTCATGGTTCGCATGAATCCTAGGCCATCTGTTGTGGAATTTGGCAAATTCTTAGGCTCCCATGCCAAAAAAAAAGGGTACTCCACTGTTGTCTCTTTGTGCAATCAAATGGATTTGTTTGGAGTGACCCACAATGTTTATTCTCTAAGTGCATTGATTATCTGCCTTTGTCGCTTGAACCATGTTGATTCTGCTGTCTCTATCTTGGGTAAGATGGTCAAACTGGGTATTCAACCTACTGTTATCACATTCAATACACTACTCAATGGGCTCTGCATGGAGGGAAATATTAAAGAGGCAGTAGGATTGTTTAATGAGATGGTACGGAGAGGGCATGAACCTGATGTGATTAGTTATAGTACTGTAATCAATGGTCTGTGCAAAACCGGCAACACAAGTGTGGCTGTTCAGGTGTTCAAGAAGATGGAACAAAATGTGTTCTTATGGCCTGCTTTCAAATTTGGTGACGCACTCGATTTTACTAGATGGCTTCTGCAAAATTGGACATTTGGATGAGGCATTAAAATTGAAGGCATGTTTATTGCTGGGAAGCTTGAAGTTGTGAAGGAACTATTTTCCAAGCTTTTTGCGGATGGAATTCGGCCTACTATACGGACATACAATGTCATGATCAAGGGACTGCTGAAAGAAGGGCTGTCTGATGAAGCATACGATTTATTTAGAAAAATGGAAGATGATGGTTTCTTGCTGGACATTTGCTCATATAATGTTATCATTCAAGGATTTCTTCAAAATCAGGACTCATCAACTGCTATACGACTTATTAATGAAATGGTTGGTAAAAGATTCTTGGCGGATTCGTCTACAGTTCAGATGTTATTGGATTTGGAATCTCAAGATGAAATCATAAGCCAATTTATGCGTGGAAGATCTCAATGTAGAAAAATGAAGTGACATTTTCCTATCAAGCGCCGTTGTAGGCTGATGAGCCTCTTGTGAGTTATAACAATTATAACACTCTGTTCTTTAATTTAATGAATGATCTGTAACATCTAGGGTGACTTCCTGGGATCTGTTTTTGGCACTGGATCTCACCTTGCATTGTGTATTGACTTGAATCTACGTGTATAAATTACAGAGTATACAATAACCAGTCTTGTTTTCCATTATTTGATGAATTTTCTAATCTTAAATTAGGTATTCCAAGTTTTGAATTTGCACCTAACATTGTGACCTCTACTAATCCTAACATAGGAATGATTCAAAAAAGTAACGAATGCCAAACCCTGATACGAGATATCGGTTTCTGGTATTGATCATGTTATACTGTTTCTCAAGCATGTTTGTGGGAATGCTTATCCAGTACCTAACCTACCTCATCACACATCTTGTGTTAATAGCAAGGCATCGCAAATAAGGCTGGGCCAATTAAGACTTAGCAGGAGGTGCAAGCCGTGCAATACTGGCGATGCATTGTTACCCGCAAAAATCACCAGAAGAACCCTATTGTATGATAGTGAAATCATGAATGAACAAAATAAAAGAAGTGCCTAGATATAGAGAGAGATGCTGCTGCCAAACTTGAAAGTGTGCTGTGAGTGATATTGGCACGCGCTACGTTTGAAGCTATAGCAATGGAATGGATGTTCTTCTGGGCAAGTTTAATCCTTGGTGGCAAATTCCAAAAGGAATTGTTGGATCCACCTTGCAAAATTAACAGTAGCTAGTGCTATCTCTTCCATCCATTTACCTTGGTAGTATATTATAACTATACCAATTCACATTATATTAAAATTAGAATTAGAATTATATTATAATTTAAACAATAACAAAAGAGCCGGGCATTTCACTTACCCCGGCTCTACTATAACTCCCCTCACAGTGCACTGCTGACTGTACTGTTCATTTTGAACAATATCAATTTATTTTTTTTTGCCATCAAATTTTTAATCCCCTCAATTTTATCTTTCAAAGTTTGGATATCATTGGTTTTTTTTTTTTCATTTCTTTTAATTTTCCTAAACTCGCAGGTGCTGAATTTTGTGGAAAATTAGATGATGAATTAGGCTTTGATTTTCTGAAATAAAAATTTAATCAAGGTTGTAAATAGATATTGAAAGAACAAGGATTAAATTTGATAAATAATAATAAAATGACCCCTTACGATTTTGGCATGGAAGACTTTAGTTTAGCTCTTAAAATTTTAGCTTTTCTATCATTTAGTCTGTCATTTTGATAATTTACGTTCTGATACAAAACTTCATTTTCATTATGTTTCGATTCTTATGATAGCGTTTGGTTACTTTCCTGAACAAAAGGAATGAAGACAGTGGAGACAGAAATGAGTTTGATTAAATAAATTTGTATTTATGGTAATTTTAAAGTGAATTTATGTATTTTCAAAACAAGAAATATAAAGGGAATATGTATTCAAAGAAAATATTTATTATTTTTTATTCTTAATAATCTTGGTAAAAAAGCTCTCAATTTCAAAATTATATAACTAAAACATGTAAAGATAAAAATAATTATTATCAAAAATTTAAAACTCAACTTGAAGGGTCAATCATAGACAAAACCTAGGTTATTGGTTAAGATCTAGGTCATGAGTTGGGTTAACTCGAGTTAATGTAAAAATAACAAATATTATTATCGTAATTTTAAAATCTAATTTGAGAATTAACCTGGAACAAGGCCAAAGTCACATATTAGTGGTTCAACCCGAGTTGATTCAGGTTAACTTGAAAATAAAAGTGGTTATTATTATAATTTTAAAACTCGATTTAGGATTAACTCGGGTTATAAATCAAGAGGGTCAACCCGGGTCAATATAAAGATAAAAATTATTATTATTATAATTTTAAAATCCAATTCGGGGGTTGACCGAGGTAAGACCTATGTCACAGCTTAAAGGGTTATCATGAGTTGACTTGAATCAGTGTATAGATAAAATTGACTATCACTATAGTTTTAAAACTTGACTGAGGAGTTGAGTCAAGAAAGGTTCAAGTCATGAATAAAGAAGGTCAATTCGGTTGATCCAATTTCTTTTTTAAATAATCAAAGCAACCTTATTTCAATCAAAAAACTTTTTCAAAAAATTCAATGGGTTTTTAACACTTGTTCTATCCCAAGTTGACATGAATTTTTGATCGGGTTAGGTCAAGTCAATTCTTCATCTATTTATTCTTAAACTCAAACAATCGAGACCTCGGGTTGACCTGGTTTTAGGTAAACCCATTAAATTAGTCTTAGTTTTGTAATTATAGTTATTATAATATTATTAATCTTAAAACTCAATATAAATTGAAGAATAAAAAAATTAATAGCTAATTATTTTTTAAAATATGTAAGTTTGACAACAATAAAAATTAAAGATAAAATAATTTTTTTCACATTTTATTGTATATTGTCCATCATAACTAAATATAATATAGATATAATCATTTTATCTTGTACATCACTATTAAATGCAATACTCTCTTTATCTTTTTTTTGTTACATCACTATTAAATGCAATACTCTCTTTGTCTTTTTTTTTTTTTGTTTTTTTTCTATATCTTTTTATCCTAGAAAAATAACAAAATACTACCTATATGTTGAGAAAGACAAGAGAAGATCAATCAAAATATTTAAAGAAAGAGAATGCTCAAGTGACCATATTCCAACTATAAAAAATATTGATCATTATGTCAATAAATAAAGGTTATTTTTCCTATAATAATGTTGGGAAAAAAGTTGATCAAGGTTCATTAACTTTTTTATTCATTTAATTTTTTTAGAGTGATTAAAGAATGTTTTGGGGTTAGGAACGAGTTTATTAGATTTCATGTGGGATTATTTTAGATGTTTCTAAATAAAAAAAACAAAAAAAAACAAGTTTTTAGAATCTAAATACTTTGAATGCTGTTTTTTTTTTATATCATAAAAGGTGATAAAAAAACTATTTAGTAGTCAACAATCACCTATTATAACAAATGATTTATTTTTTTTTATGGTAAAATAAACTAGAATAAATAATATTATATTTGATTCAAAAATAAGATAAAAATATTAACTACCAGCAAATAGGAGTAGGCTTTTTAATGAAAGGCTAAGGTTATCGTTATCTAACTTTTTTTTTTGTACTAATTTTTTCTATTTAAATATTAATTAATGTCAAATTTATTTTTAAATAGTGATTGATATTTTTATATGTTTTTTCTTTTAGTTTTATAATGCTTAAAAGAGATTGATATAATTTGTGTTAATTCATTACTAAAATATCTTTATACACTTACTTTGTGTTTGTATATATATATACAGATGAAAAGAAATCTTAACATATAAAAACATGATAACTTAATTTTAAGATGATAAAATTAAAATTAAAAAAGTTTAATAATTAAAATAAAAAAAATTAACATTGTTCATATAAAATATTACATACACGATAAAATTTATTATACTTAGAGAGCAACTAGTGTCTATTTATTAATTACTCTCCTAAATCTACTTTAAAGAAATAAAAAGATGCAAAGTATGAGAAATAAATAATGAGTGAATTTTTTTTTTATGATGGATTATATATTTTATTTTTTATATCCATCTTTTTTTATCAAAATAGACCATAAAAAATAACAAATAAAATATCACAAATTATTAAAATCACAACATAAAATTTTTCATACATGAGCTACTCTCTTAGAATTTATTTGTTTTTATATTTTAAAATTATTTTTTAAATAAGTTAATTATTTTTATTTTTTTCAAATTAATTATTTTTAATAATTTTATATCATTTTAATGTGCTAAAGGTTAAAATAAATTTTAAAAAATAAAAAAAGTATTATTTTAATATATTATTAAATAAAAAATAATTTAAAAAATAACATTTAATTTTTTAAAAACAGACTATTAATAAATTTGATAACAATTAAAGGGCTCCAAGATTTTTTGGCAACATGTTTTCTTTAAGGGGAAGAGATCGAAAATCAAAGCAACAAGTGTAGCTTAAGAAAGAGACACAGAAATGATTGAAAAAGTTTGCATCTTCGGCTTCGAAGGAGGTGAGGAACAAACAGTAAGAGATACAGCAGCTTTTTAACCTAATAATAATGATGTTCACGCGAAGCGCTTTTAGAGCTACTGCTTCTGATTTTCGGAATCTTCAACAACATATGGAAATGGGTATCTTTCCTTCTTTCTTATTCTTCAATCATCACCACATCTTTACTTCTGCTTGTGCTAAGAAACCTTCTTTGCCTCACAAAAATGGTGGGTTTGTTAGTAATAACAGCACTAACATTAGTATTGATGATGCTTTGGTTTCATTCTATCGCATGGTCCGCGTGAATCCTAGGCCATCTGCTTTGGAATTTGGCAAATTCTTAGGGTCCTTCGCTAAAAAGAAACAGTATTCAACTGTTGTCTCTTTGTGCAATCATATGGATTTGTTTGGAGTGACCCACAATGTTTATTCTCTAAGTGCATTGATTAACTGCCTTTGTCGCTTGAACCATGTTGATTTTGCTGTCTCTATCTTGGGAAAGACGGTCAAACTGGGTATTCAACCTAATGTTATCACATTCAATACACTACTCAATGGGCTCTGTATGGAGGGAAAGATTAAAGAGGCAGAAGAGTTGTTTAATGAGATGGTACGGCAAGGGCATGAGCCCGATGTAATTAGCTATAATACTATAATCAATGGTTTGTGCAAAACTGGCAACACGAGTATGGCTGTTCACGTGTTCAAGAAGATGGAACAACATGGGCGTAAACCAGATGTGGTGACATATAGTACAATCATAGACAGCCTTTGCAAAGATAGGCTAGTTAATGATGCCATGAAATTCTTATCTGAAATGGTGGACAGGGGCATTCCATCAAATGTTGTTACTTACAGCTCCATTGTCCATGGTTTTTGCAATTTAGGACAACTGAATGAAGCTACTAGATTGTTCAAAGAAATGGTTCGTAGGGATGTTATGCCAAATACAGTGACCTTCACTATTTTGGTTGATGGGCTGTGCAAAGAAGGAATGGTTTCAGAAGCTCAGCGTCTCTTTGAAACAATGATTGAAAAAGGTGTAGAGCCAAACATTTACACTTACAATGCTTTGATGGATGGGTACTGTTTACAGCGCCAAATGAATGAGGCCAAGAAGGTGTTTGAAATCATGATTCGTGAAGGTTGTGCACCTGATGTACATAGTTACAACATCTTGATCAATGGATATTGCCAGAGTAGAATGATGGACGAGGCAAAATCACTCCTTGCTGAAATGTATCATAAAGCATTGAATCCTGATACTGTCACCTACAGCACTCTTATGCAAGGTCTGTGCCAATTTGGGAGACCTAAGGAAGCTCTCAATCTTTTCAAGGAGATGTGTTCTTGTGGCCTGCTTCCAGATATGATGACTTACTCGATTTTGCTAGATGGTTTCTGCAAACATGGATATTTGGATGAGGCATTAAAACTGCTCCAGTCAATTCAAGAGAAGAAATTAGAACCTGATATCGTCCTGTGTACTATTCTTATTGAAGGCATGTTTATAGCTGGGAAGCTTGAAGTTGCGAAGGAACTATTTTCCAAGCTTTTTGCTGATGGAATACGGCCTACTATAAGGACATACACTGTCATGATCAAGGGACTGCTGAAGGAAGGGCTGTCTGATGAAGCATGCGATTTATTTAGAAAAATGGAAGATGATGGCTTCTCGCCGGACAGTTGCTCCTATAATGGTATCATTCAAGGATTGCTTCAAAATCAGGACTCATCAACTGCTATACGGCTTATTGATGAAATGGTTGGTAAAGGATTCTCAGCGGATTCATCTACATTTCAGATGTTATTGGATTTAGAATCTCAAGATGAAATCATAAGCCAATTTATGCGTGGAAGCTCACAAGTTGCCAATTTATGCGTGGAAGATCTCAAGGTAGAAAAATAAAGTGACATTTTCATATCAAGTGACGTTGTAGGCTGATGAGCCTCTTGTGAGTTCTAACGATGCTCTGTTCTTTAACTTTAATGAATGATCTGTAACATCTAGGGTGACTTCCTGTGGTCTGTTTTGGCACTCGATCTCACCTTGCGTTGTGTTGACTTGAATCTATGTGTATAAAGTACAAAGTATACAATAACCAGTCTTGTTTTCCTTAATGCGATGAATTTTTTAACTTGAAGTAGGTATTTCAAGTTTGGAATTTGCACATAACATCGTGACCTCTACCAATCCTAACAAAGTAATGCTTCAAAAAAGTGAAATCGAGGGTTCTCTTAACCTCGTTCTATTATCCAAGTTATAACAGGTTTTCTTGGAGCTGATCTGAAGGCGTTGTTGTTAAGGCTGGCAATCTGGCGGTAGAGACAATTGGTTAGCAGAGTTTCATCTATCCAGGGAATCTACAGTTCCAGAACACGTGCTGAAATGGTGAAGGATACCTCGGTTGCCATCATCATGTGAATCTACAGTTTAACAGTTTTCTGGAAAAGAGGACTCCACAGAAGAATTATATTAGGTTGATGAAAAATTATTTTACAATAAAACCAAATTCATACCTGAAACCTCAGCTCGAGTCGAGCGAGTACGTGTGTGGATTTAAGCTCAAAACTCATTTTGCATATAAGCTCTGTCTTTTTAAATTTGACTTTTCAACTTTCTATTTTATAACCAATATTAAATTATTTTTTTTCAAGCGGGATAGAAGTTTTTTAGAGGTTTCCACTTCCACACTACTTAGTAGAGTTTATGCTATTCTATTTGTCCAATAAAGAATTTGGAGTTAATGGCATGTTTTGCCCTTGTATTCTTGCTTTTCTTGGTAATTTTCCACTGTACAAAATCTATGTAGAAATAAATTGGTTGTTTTAGAGTAGTGCAAGGAGGAATGGAGTCTTTTATGAGGACAGATGGACGTGCAAGAGGGACATTGTCTAATCCTGTGAATCCAAACTACACTATGTCTGTCTTCGTTAGTTGCTTGAATCTGCCAGCTTCAATATTCCTTTGAAAATTGCGTTGGTGCTAAAGAAGAGTGTAAGTCTGTTCCAAGTAGTTAAATCAACTTACGTTGCAGGATTCTTTGTTCTTTGTGCCTCCTTGAGGCTCGAAACCTATGATACTGTTTCAGCTGATCTCGCATATACATGATGACAGTTTTCTAATTTCTAAGTCGTTGATCAAGACTACAAAGCAAGATGGATGTTGGAATCAAAAAAGAGAAAAGTGTTATTGATGGAAGATAGTTTTAACAGTTCTGATTTTATGATCAATGCACTACAACTGTGAACTTCGTAACTTCAGTTTTGTGAGGCAATACCAGTGGAGATGTGAAGGATTCTTCTACAGATTCTCCCATTTTTATGATACAGAGATGCCAAGTTTTCTACTAGAAGCCTGTCTTACTTATAAAACATCATGGATTGGCATGCTTGGAGATGATCATAGAGCTACTTCTTTGTAACCCTGTCTGGTTATGGCTTGGCTGCTAAGATGCATCAGGTAAAGTGATGAAAACAAGAGCCAAAGTTTCTCGTATGTTTATGTACATGTTACATACCAAGGGTGAAATGATATAAAGTGGAAGACAACAAGTGTATAACGTTTTGGGCTTCAAATAAGAAGTAAAATGGTCCATTGCCCTTTGGGTTCCTTTCATAAATGGTTCTGGCGAAGCTGAACCCAAGAAGACAAGACACCCAGAATCGAGAGAGAGATACGGAGTTGGGTGGAAAAGCTTTCATCTTCGGTTTCGAAGGAGGAGAGGAACAGTAAGACAGACAGCATCTTCTTAACCTAACAATGATGATGTTCATGCGGAAAAGCGCTTTTAGAGCTACTGCTTCTTCTGCTCGTGCTTCTGCTTCTGCTTTTCAGCTTCAACAACAACTTATGGAAATGGGTATCTTTCCTTTTCGTCCTGATTTCCCATTCTTATTCTTCAATCACCACCACTTCGCAACTTCTTCTTGTACCAAGAAACCTTCTTTGCCTAAAAAAAGTGGTGGGGTTGTTAGTGATATTAGCAATAGCATTAGTATTGATGATGCCTTGGCTTCATTCTATCGCATGGTCCGCGTGAATCCTAGGCCATCTGCTTTGGAATTTGGCAAATTCTTAGGGTCCTTTGCCAAAAAGAAACAGTATTCGACTGTTGTCTCTCTGTGCAATCAAATGGATTTGTTCGGTGTTACTCACACTGTTTATTCTCTAACTATATTGATTAACTGCCTTTGTCGCTCGAACCATGTTGATTTTGCTGTCTCTGTCTTGGGTAAAATGTTCAAACTGGGTATTCAGCCTGATGTTATCACATTCACTACTCTACTCAATGGGCTCTGCAATGAGGGAAAGATTAAAGAGGCCGTAGTATTGTTTAATGAGATGGTACGGCAAGGGCATGAACCTAATGTGATTAGTTATACTACTGTAATCAATGGTTTGTGCAAAACTGGCAACACCAGTATGGCTGTTCATGTGTTCAAGAAGATGGAGCAACATGGGTGTAAACCAGATGTGGTGACCTATAGTATAATCATAGACAGCCTTTGCAAAGATAGGCTAGTTAATGATGCCATGGAATTCTTATCTGAAATGCTGGATCGGGGCATTCCACCAAATGTTGTTACTTACAGCTCCATAGTCCATGGTTTTTGCAATTTAGGACAACTGAATGAAGCTACTAGATTGTTCAAAGAAATGGTTGGTAGGGATGTTATGCCAGATACAGTTACCTTGACTATTTTGGTTGATGGGCTGTGCAAAGAAGGAATGGTTTCAGAAGCTCAACGTGTCTTTGAAACAATGCCTGAAAAAGGTGTAGAGCCAAACATTTACACTTACAATGCTTTGATGGATGGGTACTGTTTACATCGCCAAATGAATGAGGCCAAGAAGGTGTTTGAAATCATGGTTCGCAAGGGTTGTGCACCTGATGTACGTAGTTACAACATCTTGATCAATGGATTTTGCAAAAGTAGAAGGATGACTGAGGCAAAATCACTCCTTGCTGAGATGTCTCATAAAGAGTTGACACCTGATACTGTCACCTACAACACTCTTATGCAAGGTCTGTGCCAATTTGGGAGACCTAAGGACGCTCTAAATCTTTTCAAGGAGATGTGTTCCTATGGCCTGCTTCCAAATTTGGTGACTTACTCGATTTTACTAGATGGCTTCTGCAAACATGGATATTTGGATGAGGCATTAAAACTGCTCCAGTCAATGCAAGAGAAGAAACTAGAGCCTAATATCGTCCTTTATACTATTCTCATTGAAGGCATGTTTATCGCTGGGAAGCTTGAAGTTGCAAAGGAACTATTTTCCAAGCTTTTTGCTGATGGAATACGGCCTACTATAAGGACATACACTGTCATGATCAAGGGACTGCTGAAAGAAGGGCTGTCTGATGAAGCATACGATTTATTTAGAAAAATGGAAGATGATGGCTTCTTGCCAGACAGTTGCTCATATAATGTTATCATTCAAGGATTTCTTCAAAATCAGGACTCATCAACTGCTATACGACTTATTAATGAAATGGTTGGTAAGAGATTCTCGGCGGATTCGTCTACATTTCAGATGTTACTGGATCTGGAATCTCATGATAAAATCATAAGTCGATTTATGTGTGGAAGCTGTCGATAGAAATGAAGTGACATTTCCCTATCAAGTGACGTTGTAGGCTGCTTAACCACTTGTGAGTTATCATGTGACATTGTAGGCTGCTTAACCTCTTGTGAGTTATCACAATACTCAGTTCCTTAACTCCATTGAATTGTTTGTAACATCTAGGGTGACTTCTAGGGATCTGTTTTTGGCACTAGAGCTAACCTTGCATTGTGTATTGACTCGAATCTGTGTATAAAGTACAGAGTGTACAGTAACCAGTCTTGTTTTCCTTTATGCGATGAATTTTGTAACTTGAAATAGGCATTTCAAGCTTTGAATTTGCAACTAACATTGTGACCTCTACTAATCCTAGCAAAGGAATGATTCAAAAAAGTGAACTTGAGGGTGCTCTTCATCTTGTTCTTTTATCCAAGTTACAGCAGGTTTTCTTGGAGCTGATCTGAATGTGCTGTTGACAAGACTGGCAGTCTATCTGTAGAGAGAACTGGTTAGTAGAGTCTCATCTATCCCGAGAATCTACAATTTTAGAACACATGCGGAAATGGTGGAGGATACCTAGGTTGCCATCATCATGAAAATCTACAGTTTTAACGGTTTTCTTGAAAAGAGGGACTCTACAGAAGCAGTAACACAAGCTTAGGTTGTTTTATGCATTTCAAGTGGTCATTTGCATGGTACTCGAATTGTTTGATTCAGGTTTTGATTTCCAGAGTCTGCAGACAGGTGGTTTTAAGCGGATGGCTGCTTGTCTGTATGGTATACACTCGCAAAAAGTCCTGCGTGCTGCTTCTCATTTCTCAGTCTCAATTAATACTTGTTGCTGTACAAGGAGGCTTGTCTCTCCACCCATCGTGTAACAAGGCTTGCTCAACTCCTTTAAGCTTTGCTGTTGTTCTATTCTTCTTGGCTAAATGAAGTGTTTGTACAGTATTGACCAGGTACATTATTCCTTTGCTCGATCAGGCTTAAACTGCACTTCTGCAGAAAATGAAGTAAGGAGATTTAAGAAGGATTCTTGCCATTAGAACATCTTGTCGTTCCTTTGATTAATGCCAAATTGTATGCAGCAGTTTACGAGCCTTCAAAGAAGATTATATCTTTAATCTTGAGTAAATATTATCTTGATCCAAAAATTAAACTGTGAAATCTGATAAATAGTTGTATTCCCTCAATTTGAAGTTGCTGGTTCCCTTCCAAAAATAATATTGTTTTAATAAAAATAAATCATCCGAGTTAACTTAGTAGGTAAATGGCTTTTTTTGGCCCT